AAAAAAAAAAATTTAAAAAATAAACCAGGTTGGCTGGCTGCCTCGGAAAGGCCTCAGGCGGCCTCGAACTCCGGCGCTCGCAGCCCCCGTACCTGCAAAAAAAAAAATAAAAAAAACAACAAAAACCCACCAGGCAGGTGCATCCCCCTTTTTCAAGCAAATACCTGAAAGAAGGCAGCGAGGGGTGTCAAAGCGAGCAAGGTTAAAGTTTACATTTGCTGCCGTGTTCTTTTGTTGGTAGCATGGATTATATAAAAAAAAAAAAAACCCAAAAAACCAAAAACAACAAACGCCCAAACTGTACATATTATAAGGCTATATTTTTATCTCGGGGTTCTGGTGACACGTACAAACCACTTGAGCTTTGCTTTCGTGGTTTATATTGCCACCAGAAACCCTTGATAAAAATACAGCTTTATATTGTACAGTTGGGTATAGTTTATTTTCTCCATATATCATATACTGTGTTTTATTTACAAACATACACAAAGACACTCGTACATGCAAAGCAGTTTTTTTATTGAAGTAATTCTGAGGTATCAATAATACTATATTAACTAACGCATTGTAACACAATAATTTCTTGGTTAGCAATGGCCTTTCTAAAGAGACATCTATGAAAATATGATAAAACACATAAAAAAATCAGTATTTCCATGTTACAATTTACGATTCCCATACTGAAAATTTCAGCTTCTGGTGGCTCGTACTTGCAGAGAACCCTGCTTAAACCACCTCAAAATTTAGCTTTAACATCTCTTGAATACTTGAATCCTTTCTACAGAGAGGCTACAGGAAATAAAGCTTCGCGGAACAGAGAAATGCAAAAATCTAAAGGAAAAAAACCAAACGATAAAAGCAAACGTGCTGCTGATAAAGACGCAACTACGATGAGCTCCTCAGTATTTTGCCCCAGTTGCGCTAATCAAACTGCTTATTTAAAACAGACCTCTCGTACAATTTGCCAGCAGCTTCTCTTCCACCCGCCTTTTGCACCACTCACAAAGGCAAAAAATTTTTTAGTCCCACCTCTCGCGATCCGAAAAGAAAAGCCGGGAACGAGCAATTCCATAGCCGCCGGCTGTGGAATGCATCTCAGCGTGCTCCCTTAACTCCTGTTCAGGTAAAACACGTAAAACGCCGTTTCAGGCACCGGAGAGGCGAGGGCAGACCGGGGCGGGAGGCTGGCAGGGACCAGCCAGCTGCTTCCTCGGGGGGAGGCTTGCACCTCACATTTGCCACGTCCCTCCCGCTCCCTTATCCCTGCTTTAATGGACATTAAAAATAGAACAAAACAGGCCTGGAGATGGGAACAAAATCCACGCACAACAGGCCTGGACCGCTGTAGTCATTCTGCTGTAAAATGTAAAAACAAGAAAGGGCAGACGAGCTGCATCCCCCAGGACGCATCCCGCTTTTTTAATATAGCGGTGCCACCGCACATTTCACTTCGGATGTTGCATTATATTTATATGTCACTCAAATATTTACCATTTTTCTGAACTCTGCCGGGTGCTCTGAGAGCTTGTTATAAGCCAAGTATCCGCGGTTGTACGTCTTGGCTGGTTAGCAGCCGTGGCTGAGCTGCATCAATATGCTAACTTCTCTTTCTGGAGCTTCTCGTGCGACAAAAGCCACTCTTTCATAAGGTTTCCTCCTCCGTAGTTGCCGCTCTGCCCGCTGCTGCAAATCACCCTGTGGCACGGTATGATAATCGGGATCTGCGAAACACACACAGAGACACACGAAAAAAAGGAAGGGAGCAAAGGGTGAGGCGGAGGGGATCGGCGGCTGGGGAAGGTGCCCATAAATCCACCGCTACACCAGGAATCGTCCGCCAGCGGGCTCGCGGGGACCGGACTGAAGGAGCCACGTTACAGAGCACGCTGGCGGAATCCCGGCCGTGCCCGGGACCAGCCCAATTCTTTGGGAAAAGCAAGGATTAGGAGAAATTTGAGTACATAAGAATGATGTAAAGCCTGAAAAGGGGAAGCCCGACGTATTAAATCCCACGTAAGAAAAACTTCTCTGCAAGGAGCGGATTTTCCTGCCCCGCGCCAGCCCCCTCCAATGCCCAGGGTGGGTGACGATGCCTCGCAGACCCAAAACGCACACGAGGACAGCGAGGAGGTACAGGACGACTCTTAATCGTCGTCCCGGGATTAGAAGAGGACGTATTTCTGGAAAAAAACCCAGACCGCTGAGGAGCGAGCTTCCCGAGCCCCAGCTCCCTCGGCAGATCTCCTCCTCTCGCTATAGCACCTCCACGTGCACTGCTGAAAAATTCTATGTAAGAACAAGGCGCTATTTATTATTTAACAGCCAGTCAATCCAAAATGGGTTGTGAATTTTTAAAACCTACAACAGGAGAGATTTAATTCACACCTAACCAATTTAAGAACTTTTTTCCTCGTGCCTTCTACTTTGTATCATTTATAGCCAAATGTCACGGATTCTGAAAAATCAATGCAAGAAGTTACAGAATAGACTGATAATGTAGAGAAGTACATAAACGCTTTTTTTCTTATTTTTTATTACAGGTGATTATCATAGTTGAAGTACACACCATAAAAAATGCAATACATCATCTCTAATCACGCCGTATGTGTTTTGGTAACTGCATAGTAATTCAATTGCAACGATATAGCTGTGAAAACAATAACTCACTAAAAAGTGCAGTTTTCACAAATTTGGATATTTTAAGTCAAAAAGTATAATTTATTTATATATAGACACACAGACAAATGACGTACTTTACACTGACTTATTTTAATCCCATTTAATAGTTATTTCAGTACAGTTCAAGCTGTGCTCATATTTGAGTCTGGGATGGGCAACCCCCAAAGTAGCTCAACAGCTACTGGCCAGACCTTTATAAATCGGGGTTTTTTGGGGGGTTCTTCTGGTTTTGTCAAGCAATTTCAATGGCTGAAATTTAAAATCTTGATCTCAGCCCACAGGCTATCACATTAGACAGGAATACACATAGGTGCTTATTGTTAATCAAAGTTTAATAAAAAATGCTTATAATAGCTGCTTTATTTGGAGTTGGCAATGCCACAAGTGAATTATGCATCTGTGACAACTCCAGTGAGTACTAATAAAATCTTTACTCTAAAAAACCATCCCGCGCTTGGTTTATGACTTCCTTAAAGAAGTTGTTTTTTGCAAGTGTTGCTCTGTTTTGGGATTTCTCTGTCTTTTACAATCCGTGTGCACAAGTTACTGCAGGCAGATTTTCTTGAGTGACAAAGCCATAACAAGCCATAACAATACACTGTAAAAAATCTCCAAGGTTAATTAGCAATTCTTTAAAAATATATACAGTAAATCAGCATATTTTGACGGTAAGGCAATAAACCTTGCTACGGACAGGGGCCAAAACCTTTTTCTGAGCCGGTTCCCTGCTGCCGCTCACATGGTGCAAAGAGACTTGAACCGGGGGGGGTCCATGTACTGGGGGAATTTTGTCAGGGAGGTAAGTTGATGACTTCTCCTGCTAAACTGTGTGAGAAGATGGAATGCGTGCCCAAGTGGAGGAAAAAAAAAGGACTTTATTTTCAGGTGGCGTGAGCTGGCAGGTCACGCCGGGGCTTGGATGATCCCCGGGTCGGTGGAGAACCCATTCACAAACGCTGAGCCGCTTACCATCAAGCAAGAAGAGGAGGGTGTGAAATAAATGTCGCTTTTGCCATGCCCGAAATAAAGAATTTCATACCGAGTTTGTCCTAACACACGCAAGCGCCCGTATGTCACCCTCCATAGCGTCGGATGTAAAACAAAACGCGGTACAAAGGCTGTATCAGCGCTGTAATTTAAAAATATTGAATATTGCTTCAGTTTGGCTTAATTGTGGTGACAACTTTCAGACTACTAAAATAATTAAACCTGCTAAAATTTATTAGGGCCCTAAGGACATTTTAGAGGGAGTACTACCCTAGTCTGGAGCTTTAATGCCTCAGCTACATTTAATGTAATTTTTATCAATAACCAAGCAGCTCATAATATTATAGCTCCGCTGAAATCTTCATGCTGTGAAATCTAATTCATCTAATACATGAATCCATCACTTACACAGACCCTACCTCAAACGCTATAAAACTTCCAAACCCATAGATTTGTCTCCAACACAAATAACATGAAGGGGCCCTCGGATCAATAACGGAGTCCCTCTGATTCGGGCACCAGCTGAATATTTTCTCCAACTTCGCTTTTGTTCTTCTGGGTAGAGGCCCACAAGGGAAAGAGCTTGTTTTCACTCGCAGCCTCATCAATACCTAAATCCTGGTGAACAAGTGACACTGAGAAGCTGTAATCAATAGCTCCCTGTGCGTTTTTTCTTCTGGTCAAATGGTTCAGCACTACTGACAGCCCTGACACTCAGAACATGATGCTAAATCTTTATCAACAGCCATCTGGGTGACTGGCAGAACAAGACTTGGGCGGTCATTAACGCTCGTGGCAATCTGTGAATAAACTAACTCCTCGATAATGCGTTTGTTTAGCAAAAAGGTGGGGAAAAAAACTCCCTGCACAAGGTATCGATCGCCTTTGAACTGCATTTAGCAAATTCCATCTGAGGACGGAGCGGAGCGGTGCTCCGCCGCGGCGCTCCGCTCGTTAAGAGTTTTCAATTTGAGGCAACGGAAACCCGACCGTCCCATTATACTGCTGATGGGCTGGAGACCGCCAGAAACTGCCAAACTGTCAAAACCCCATCAGCCAGACCGTAATGGAAACGGCTGAAATACCACGTTGTAAATACAACAAGAATCATGCTTAGCAAAAAATCATCTTGCGCTTTCCTCATGTCCTATTGCTTTTTCTCCCCCTCTTCCCCGACAGAAGCAAATACCACAACGTCACCCAGCACGCGTCCCGGGTTATTGCCAGCCACCGAAGGAATTAACGCACAAGTAGTTTTAGGTGTCCACAACGTTTCAAATCCATACTTCACAATCTTCTCATAAATGCACGATTACTCCTTCCGCTCTCCACTGTTTAAAACATTTTGGTTGAATAATATCCTTGACTTAGGATAGATCGATACTAGCACCCAGTTGTACACTTAGCTGGGCTTTAGCCTAAACAACAATGCAGTTGGAGAGAATATAAAAACCAACGTATGCAGCTATGACTGCCGTTAACAGACCGCTGAAGACGTCTTATTTAAGGCACAGAACAGTCATTTAGGATGGCCTTGGACTAATCAGCCCAACATTCGCCATTTCCCATGAGTCTCTATGATTTCTTTTTGATCCTCCTATACTAGTCTAATGAGATTTTTAATTGAACTTTATGGGTTCCCTTTGAGGACCACAGACCTTGCAATCAATGTGAACCACAGTAAACTATTTGAAGCTTCTCTTGCAAAAGGTGAGCCATCCCCATCATGTCCTTGGCATAAATTGAGGCAAAGATGTCGCATCTTTCAGCTGCTGCTGGCACCTATTCCACCTTCTCATAAAGTTGAAGGTCATCGTATGAATTATGTGAAGCAACCCAACTACAAAGGGAAACCTGTGGAATGCACACTACCAAAATTAAAGACCAACCCTTGATTCGTAGAAGGAAGAAATGTTCTGGTATTTTGTGGAGAAAGCCGAGATTCGCAATTTTATCAACACGTTTGAGGAACAATGCAACGCCAGGCTCGGTTTATTTCAAATGCTCATTTTTACTGTTATTACGATCCTCATTAAATCATGTTTATGATTTAGTCATCACGTTTATAATTTAGTCCTTTAATCATAGGAAGCATCTCAAGGTGCAAACATACTACGATTTTGCTATTTTGCATAGCTTCTGCAGCAATCATTAATAGAAGCATTCACTTTTATTTCACATTCGCAATAAAAGCATTCACTAGTTTCAGCTTCCCTCCTGCGAACAAAAATCACTAATCTGCTGCTTAACAAAACATCACATTTCTGCAATAATTTCGAAGCAATTGCTCCTCAAAACCAGTATTTATATCCTAGAGCTCACGTTGCAGGTGTAGCAGTTGTTAACACCACAGCTCTTTGCATTCTGCGCTGATACGTTAATGATGCTGCAGTCCAGATGACGTGTTCGGTTTAATGAACTGTTTAGTTAGATTCAAAGCTCAATATCTCATCTGATAAACAGACTGCAAGTGTGTTTATATACGTACAAGGTTCACGGGTATCCTGCAGTTCTACGCAGGTAGCACACTACCATAGAAACTCACACAACGTCTAATGGCTTTAAGCTTCTAAGCTCAATAAAGAAGTACACCCTGATATTTTAAGCGTCTATCAGATTTTCCTATGAAACAGTTCATATAAGCAGTATAAAGCTACGTTTCGTCAATACACTGTATTGTACTTGACAATACAAACTATTTTAATATGATGGAATGCTTTCCAATATAATATGGTGTACATTAAGATAAGGCAATACAATGCAAACCTACAGGAAACAGTTCTCAAAGAATAACAATACAGTGTTGTGCAAAAGGATATGTAATTGCTATCGCCTAGAAATGTACCCAGCTTTGCCCTCAGGCTGCAGTGGAGCAGCAGCATCCAAAGTAGCGGTAACAGCAGGTTGTGGTGTGAAAATTCCTGCTTTTTCCCCTGTGAGGAAGGATGAAAATAGTTCTGAAAATATACAGCAAAGCTACGGCAATTTTTTTTTAAATGGGGTCCTATCTTATTATTGTTATTTCCCATCCCATGCTATGGCCGCAGTGCTTTCTGTCCCCAGCAGAAAATTTTTAAGCATATTATAGATAATAATGCATAGCTTTAGGGGAAAAGAGCTATATTAATATAATACCACCCCAATATTTCATAACAGAAAGCTGACGATTAAAAAAAAAAAGAAATCAGTACTGTAACGAGAGCCCTGCCCATTCCAAAACATGTTTTTATCGCTACGCATCTCCTGTAGTTAATCTGTAATTTCACACATATTCCACACGCAAACACACACATAGTCCTTTTGCACTTCAGTGCGAGCACCTATTCGCTATGTTTCTCATATTTCCCGTATAAATCTTTACATGGCCCTTCAGACCCATGAACCACGATATGCAGGTTGACTACGCATAATACGCAGGTTGATATTACGAATGAGGTGAAATACAAAGATAATATGTGGCACTGCAAACCCCCCTCACCTTTATTATTTCTGTATGTAAAGCCACCGGCTGTAGAAAACCAGATTTTCTAACCCGCTTTGCAACTACACGTTACAGTCTCATATGTACCTTATTAAAGCAAATACTGAGAGGACCGAATGGAAAACCAACACAGGAGGTCAAAGATTACGGCAGGTATAACGCTGGAGAAAAGCAGAGGAATTCGGGTATGGAAAGACACGTGTTGCTCAGGGCGAGTGCTAATGAGGGAAAATATGTGGAAGAATGGCTAAAAAGGCCACAGTGATATTAACAGAAATCAAAGTTTTTCATTTTTTTAAAGGCACGTAGCAAGAGAACGAACGCGTAAAGACAGCGGCGTTCGCATTACCGGCTTCTCCTTGCCTTCGCCAGCCGGCTGCGGCACCGGTCCCACGTGGGACGTGCCCACCCGTGCGCCCGAGCCCCCCCAACTGCCTCCTCCCTCCTCGGGCAGCGCAGGTACGTCCACTGCAGCCCCAAAACCCTCCGGTTCAGGATGGGGCTGCTCCAACGGGCTGCGAACCCAGCCGCGCTGAGACACGACCCGCTGACTCTCACCAACTCCACTTAACGCCCGTCGGGGCGACGCAGGTGCATGAATGCATCTGGAAATCTAATCCTGGACAACTCGAAGGGAGAGGTAATTACTGGGAAGACAGACAGAGACCAAGTATTATAACACAACTGTTTTTTCCAAAATCCACAGGCCCAACTAACCTGGAGGGCTACTCCCTCCCATTGGTTCAAATTCAGGCAACTCACCTGTATCCAGTGGAGAAATGCCATTTACAGCTTGTTTGGAGCGCACAGGGGAAAAAACCGTATTGGAAAAACCATACTGACAATTAGGGATTTGATTCAAACGTGTACCTACTTGATTTAAAATCCTTCCTCTTCCCCATTTTCAGAAACATATCCATGCCAGAGAGGATGGACTGCTGGTAACACAACCGAAGCTACTCACACCCTGCCAAAATGAGGTCCGTGTCGGGGGATAAAAGACTTCCCTCACCCAAGAATATCTAAGAAAGTTTGAGAACAACAAAATGCGTAGAGGCTGATGAATTAAAAGAAGTGTTTCTCTTTCAAATCTAATGCCATAAATGGTAGGGAATAAATCACATTAAACTGGGTTGTGCATTATTGCTGATTAAAAACACTTACTGACCTTATTACTCATGGTAGACCAGTTTTCATAGCAGATAAATTTAATCTAATGACATTTAGCCTGCAAAGCTCTCTAAATCCACCATCTTCCATCAACTTTGTTTAAAAGTTGACATGAACTTACAGGATTGCTCCTCATCGCTCCTCCCACCGCTCTCGCTGCTCTGCTGTTGCCTGCGAGGACTGCTAATTGCTTGTAGGAAACGGCCTCTCCAAACTTCACGTCTCTCAACAAGGTCCACAACACTTGTCTGGTGAACGAATCTGCAAAGAAGACGAAGCGAGCGCTGTTCGTATGCATGGCTGAAAAAACCAAGATGAAATATTCAAAAAGCCAACGCAAAGCAGAGTCTCAATAGCAGCTTTCTAATTTAAATTTAAACAGCCCCGATGCACTGTCCTGTTATTGTATCCTATATTACTACATTTAAATACATGATTATTAGAAAGAGTGCTTCAAGTAACCGATCACTATAAAAAAGGATTTAAGGCTTTGATTTTCCTATATTTTTAATTTGCTTCAAGTACAATTATCCTGTTAACTCATACAATGTGGTTTTTCCATTAAATTGGCAGAGTATAAATTAGCATAGAGTCAAATTAAAAAGGGAAGAAATAACCGGCTCTACCTATTTTACAAAGCCCTCGCATCTCCAGCTAATTTCCAACTTCAGCTGGGACACGCGGCAGAAGAAGCCCTAGAGCCAGCGGACTCGGTATTATCCTGGCTGACTGCATTTTATAGTCGAGACCCCCAAGCTACTGCTCAGCATTGCAGACATTACAAAATGTAAGGACTAGCTGTGACCTTGAATGTACGGCACATCCTTAATGATAGAGGGCTCTGAAAAAAAATAATAATGTATCTTCCATTATTTTAATTTTAATTCACCAGCAAATTGCTTCTAAGTGTTCCAATTGCTGAAATAATGAATAAGCAAATGCATTAGGACCAGCTTTCTTCTGCATCTCAGGGTTTTACCTTCCCATCCCAGGATTATTTTACAAAAGGAAAACCGATAGTCGCGTTTGGATTTTAGTTGGGTTGAACACCTATTGCTGTTCCAAGGCACTTGTAAAAGCTTTGAAGATCTAACTAGTGAATAACTTACTGAGAGGAGTGAGCTGGTGAATAAAAAAAAAAAAAAAAAAAAAAAAGGGAAAAAAAAAGGAAAAGAGACCCCTTCCCCCAGCTGACAGCTTCAGTCTCCTGCTTTGGCAAAGAAACAAACTGATTAAAAACATTTTCTTTCTTTAGTTGTCAAAAAAGACATTGATTACTTTACATAGGAACATAGCGAAATGTGATTTTGTTCTTAAAGGAAACCCATACAGCATTATGTGTGTGTTAAATAATAAAAATCACTTCTTAACTGAAGGGAATGATAATCACTTCATTGAAAAAATCTGTTTAGTCTTTATTATAACATTAAGCAAATTAAACATCAGCATAATCCAGGTGATACGAGAAAAGGGTCATCAAAGAAATTAACTTTGTTGTTCATTAATTTACATGGATTAGTAGAGGGCAAAGAGATAGCAAATCTGCTCTAGTTTTTTATGATATAATTTCAAACTGTACACCATTTGTGGCAGTAGGGTGACTTTGGGGTTAATCAGACTGATTTGTCCTTTTAATTGCTTTCTATTCAAAGAAAATTCATTAGATAATGTTCTCTTCAAAATTCATGAATCAATTTAACTGAAGAAACCACATTAACAGCTTTGGGTTCATTAGCACAAGCAGTTGTGTTACTAGCTGATTGCTAGGAGGGTTTCCTTAGGCAAACAGATTTTGTTTACTGTGATTTCTTCAGAAAGGTTTATTTCAAATCAAATTGTTACTTATTATTTTTTTAACCTTCTTTTTAAGCCAGCAAGATTAGTGTTAACCTCGCCTACTTAGGGGTCTTGGGGAATTATTGCTTGATGTCATCTTTTAAATCAATGAAACGCAGTGACTGCACGTCGCTGGGGCCCGAGTCCAAAAAATCCCCTTTTCTTCCCTCATTTTTGGCAGAGAAGGTGGCGGGCTGGGACGTGACAGACCCGTAACTTTCTGAAACACGTAGGAATATGGGGAGAAGCGGGTGCAGAGCGCGCCGGAGCACCGGGCGGCCGCGGGAGGATGGGGCAGCTCCAGAGCCCCCCCCAGCAATAGCACCACCGTGCCAAGCGATGCCCAAATTATTGAGTACCTTTTAACATGCTACAAGAAGGACAGAGATTATCCTCTTCTGACAAGCAGGGGCAGAGATTATCCTCTTTCCAGAGCCACTGCACATTTTTCATGGGAGAATATATACTGTCTCTGCACCCACATAAAACACTCGAAGTTATAGTTCAAAAGAATGAAATATTTAGCAATCATGCACATCATTTTATAAATGTATCTGAAAACTCAATTTCATCCTGTAGGGAGCAAATGCATTAATTAGTTTAAGCAGCTCTAAGAGACAGTGCCAAATACTGTTATTAAACTGTCTGCAAGTGTGAGTGCCTGTAAGCATAACCTGCCCAAATTAGATGGCTGAACTTTCACCAATTTTCAGCGCGTGCCAACATTTTATGCCGTTAAATGTCATTATAAAGTGCTGTAAAATACGCACATAAAAATTAACACACACAAATTCTCTCGTTACAGGAAAACACTTTATACCTCCGCGAGCTGAGGATGCCCACGTCATTCTGGAGTGGCAGATGCCAGCAGAGCAATGGCTGAACCGAACCACTTTGTAGGAATGGGAATATCTGAAGTTTTCTCCTTCCTCCGCACCCACCTACCGCACGCCCTGTACATAGTCCCTCCAGGTGACTGGCCTCCGGACTGCCCTCTTGCCAAGCAACACAACACTATGGCCAACACAGAGCAACCGGCTATTTCTCATTTAAATGCCCAGTGATCTGTCAGATTTTACATCCGAACGCACACCTCACCAGTTCCCACTGGGAGCTGGAGCTGCGCCGGGAAGGCTGGGGTGAAGGTGGACTGAAGGATGGGAAGGGGCAGACCTGTGACCGACTTGGGTTTCCAACTCTCTACAGCCCCATTCCCACCTCCAGCTGCTGTGTCCATGGCACCCAGGGACCGCAAAGGTCCTTGGGACGGTTTCATAGAATCACAGAATGGGTTGGGTTGGAAGGGACCTTGAAGATCATCTAGTTCCAGCCCCACTGCCATGGGCAGGGACACCTTCCACCAGACCAAGTTGCTCAAACCCCCATCCAACCTGGCCTTGAACAATCCACAACCTCTCTGGGCAACCCGTTCCAGTGCCTCGCCACCCTCAGCGTAAAAAATTTCTTCCTTGTATCTAGTCTGAATCTACACTCTTTTAGTTTAAAACCGTTAGCCCTTGTCCTGTCGCAACAGGCCCTACTCAAAAGTCTGTCCCCACCTTTCTTATAAGCCCCCTTTAAGTACTGGAAGGCTGCAATAAGGTCTCCCCAGAGCCTTCTCTTCTCCCGGCTGAGCAACCCCTGTTTAACAACAGGCGATAGGTGAATGACTTCTTGGATGTTTTCCTCCTACGGGCATCACCGTGCTTTACTTGCTGGTCAAAAACCTCGTAATTGTGCATTACTATCAGCCCTGCCAACTCCGTGGTAAATTGGCAAAGCAACGCACCATGACGCCAAGCGTGGATGTTCCAGGACTGATCTGAAATTAATATTTACAGAGAAGTTATAAGCTCCTAAAAAGAGGGACTTACCCTGACCCTGCTGTTAATACCTAAATGCTTCAGAGGTCACTCACGACAGCCCGCTGGACTTTAATTCTCCATATAAAGATGTTACATGCACGGGGATAACAGAGTGAAAATCAAGTTTACTTTAACACCTGGTATCACAACTTTTAATGTGATTGAAGGTGGCCATTAGTACAAAGAAGCGAAGTCATACGCTGCTATCTAATACCACGCTGCTGGAGCATTTACCGCGTTAGGAAGGGGCTCAGCCCCCGCGGCAGGCGGGGGGGATGCTCCGGGCAGCGCAGGGGGAAAAAGCGGAGTCACCGGCATCGGTCCGCTCCTGCCCTGCTCTGCGCAGGGCTCGGGGCAAGAGAGGTTCAAAAGATAACACAGTCTGATTTTACATCCTTTTTAATCCCTTCGATTAAGAGGGATTAAAGACAGACCTTGGTTTTTTTTTTTTTTTTCCTTCTCCTCAACACCGATCGCTGGGAATGTTAGTTTTTCTGTTTGTTGTGGTTTTTTGGTTGGTTCCTGCCCCTCAGAGTTTTTGCAAATGCAAAGAAACAGTTATAAATACTCACCCCTTCTTGCCAGCTTTTTCGCAGCCTGTCTGGGGTACTACATAGACAACTTTTTTGTTTGTTTTTATGCTTATCGGTTTTCACTGTTATTACTATTGGTAAAAAAAAATAAAAAACCAAGCATAATACTTGAAAAATACTCCAACTTGTCTACCAAACAGCAGTTCCCACAGCAGCATGAGCTTCCACCTAATCCAGAAAACTTAATTTAGCTCTTGGACCTTGGAAGAACAGATTCATATTCAAACTGAAGTACTTCTACTGACAACAGGCAACTGTGTAAACAGTTAATGCAAGCAAGAGTGCTAATTTTTAGCAATTTTGAACCTCCTTTGCTATTAAGCAGGCTGTTAAAGCCTTATTAAGCATGTCACCTAAACAGCAATCTGAATACTAACAATCACTGCTACCCTACCCTAGACTGAACTAGCAAGCAGAATGTGAAAGATAAATGCTCATCTAGTCTCTTAACTGTTTAATTATATTTTGCTCTTGTTATGAGGCAGATCAAGAAATACTTTTCTTCCCTTTTACAATGGCTGCGAGTCCCTGACCACTGGTACTCTATGGTAAAAAATGCAATTATTACTTGCTATTAAAGGATTACTGGGAATACAGATTAGACAGTACAGTGATACTGTATCCTGTAAAATAGTCCAAACATCTCACCGCAACAGAAGCAAAGGATTGCTTAAAATCGGGGTGCTGCAACCATCTTGCCAAAGTCACTGAGAAAAGACTATGAACTTTTATTGTTGCTGCCTGTGTGATATTGATATATAATAGAGACAGAATGTGCCTAACTGAAAATAATGAAGTCAAACTTTACCTTTATGATTGCCTAAATAGCTGAACCAAAGCAAAGACCTTGGCCATTTTGAATGACCGAGCTTTACAAATGAAGATGCAAATATAATCTAATTATTTTAGAGTATCTATTACTGATGTTATATAATCCATCAACTTCATAGTAAAAAAAAAGTATTTA